GCTGGGGATGTAGCTGAGTGTTAAGAGATTTGCCTAGCATGGGTGAGGCCTGGGGATGTAGCTCACTGGTAACATACCCCCAGGTTCAATTCCCAGTACCAAGAAAAAAGACTTTGTTAAATTCTGTGTTGGTTGCTGATTTGCAGTTGTAGTTTGCAACTTTTTAATATAGTCTATTCACTGTCTTCTTTGGTATTTCAACAACTGGAAAGAGTTTACTATAAGGATTAAATGAAATTAAAATATATAAACATAGGAGCATAATATATGTTTAATGAATGGGACAGCTCTCTGCTTCAGTCTTCCAGACGTGGCACAAGTAATTTGTATTTGACACCTTTGCCTAGAAGACTCTATCCTTTGTGACAGGTCAGCTCACTAATGAATATTTTCATGTATGACTATTTCTATACCCTAAAAAACATTCTTCTGAGCTCATAACTTTGACCTTTGGGTAAAGAGAATACTGGAGTGTAAATGACGAGAGTCCTAGGAAAACAGGTATTTCTGGAAGCAGATACTGTTGTCAGGGTTGAATTGACAGCAACCTGAATCTTACAGTATTTTCTTCTAGCAGCTGGGTTGAAGGAGCCCATTATATTTGAGAAACATAGTAGGTAAGATTGAATTTGCAGGTTTGGGCACCTGGGGATGTAGACAAGAATAAGGAACTCAGAAGAGAAGGAACTGGTGTGGTGATAGGAAGTGGCGAGGATGATGAGGTGGTTTTCAATCCTATGAGACAGGATTTTGGTAACTTCTTTACCTTTCACAGGAAAATAAACAACCCACACCAGCCAGTTGTACTCACTAGTGCTTTCAAAACATACACATTTTTAAAGTTGTGTATGGACTCAATGCCTTTATTTATTTTTATGTGGTGCTAGGATCAAACCCAGTGCCTACCACTGAGCCACAACCACAGCCCTCTTTTGCTTTTTAAGGCTTTGATCCTGTTCAGAAGTCAACACCTGTGACAGGACTGACATGTTGAGTTGCTAACAGTCACCCAGGTGTCACTGGAAGAGCTGATAGGGGAGTCTTGGAGGAGAGAGTGGGTGCTGAGGAGAGGAGAGAGGGTCTGGCATGAAGTGCGGCCTAGGGTGCTGGCATGACAGACCTGAGTGGACCCTGACAGACACTTGGGGACCTTTGGGCGTGTTCTGATGTTTACACAGTTCAGATTTCTGCCTGCCTGGGGACGCATTCTTGACATGCCTTTTGTGTGGAACTGAGTATTTTTCGCTCCTCCGCGGTGTGAACCTCTGGCCTGGTCAGGCCTACTTCATCCTCACGATGGCTGCCATGGGTTAGACCTCAGCCTCAACTTCTGCTGCTCATGGTTCCCATCCCAATCCTCTCCCCTCCACATCTGCTGCCCTCCCCGGCCTCACCTTCTCTCGGGCTGCCCTTGACTGTCCCTCCACTTTTTTCCACAAAAATTGCCTTTGCTTTTGCATTCTGTGTGTTCAGCATTCGATTACATTTAGCTTTACCTTGTGTCATATTTACTGTAGGTTTATTCTCCCACGTGTGTATATGTATTCTCCCTAACTTAGCATTTCTCAAAATGTCCCATGAACAATGTCATCTATTAAACACAAACAGGCTTAAAATTAGAGTAGGAATTGGTGGTTTTAGCAAAGAGTTAAAGCTTTGTGTTGTTTTGTTTTTTGGTACTGCAGATTGAACCCTGGGTTGTTCTACCACTGGACTACATTCCTGATTCTTTTTATTTTTTATTTTGTGATAGGGTCTGGCTAAGCTGCTGAGACTGACCTTGAATTTGAAATCCTCCTGCCTTAGTATAGGCATATACTACTACTGTGTCTCACAACTTTTTGTTTTTTAAACCATAATCTTCTACATAGCTTTAATTTACAAATATAGATCCTGGTCCCTATGAAGTGTTCCTCTGTGTTATTTACTTGTGCAAGAACCTGTTTTTCATTTTGTGGGGCTGTTGTTCTGCAAGACACAGTTTCCAGAAGGACTGCTGTAATTGGCTTTGGTTCTGGAAGTGTGGAAACTGCACTGTCCTTCACTGTGGATCCCCACATTAGCTGAGGGCAGCACTAGGCAGATGGCAGTAATTTTGGATTAAACAAACTCAATATAGTTGTTCAGTTTTTTTAAACAAATGTTTCTATTGTGGCAAAACTCATATAAAATGCATTTTAACCATTTTGAAGTATATAATTCAGTGGCATTTAGCGTGTTCACAGTGTTGTGCAACCATTACCACCAAGTTGTTCAGGAACATTTTTATCACCCCCTAGAGGAAACTCTATACCTATTAAGCAGTCACTCCCATTTTCTCCTTCCATAGCAACCACAAGTCTGCTTTCTATTTCTGTGATCTTCCCTGTTCTGAACATTTTATACAAGTAGATTTTACATGATATGTGGCCCTGTGTGCCAGGTTTATTTCCTTAGTAGAGTTTTGATAAAGATACAATGTCTTAGGACTGGATGATACCTCTGCTCCTCCAAAGCAGTTCTTCATCATCGATCAAACCACATAAATGTCTAAGTAACAAAAAGCAATCATCTATCTGGAGACCTCTAAGTTAACGTGGCCAGGTTAGAACTATCATGGAATGTAGTGGAAAAGGGTCAGAAGTGTGGTTGCCATTGCTGTTGACCTGGGATTTCAGAAAGCTGGTTTGAGCCAACACTCAAATCTTTTCTTGGAAGTCAGAGGTGGTGCAGTTGGCTCATCATCCTCACACATCCCCTTTCTAGTTGGAGGTCTCGGCATTCAGGCTACTCATCATTAATAACTGTAGATCATTCCAGAGTGGGTAGGCCCTGCAGGGGCACCCTGGGGAAAAGATCTCACAGTTCCACTGTTCTGTAGAGCCCTGAGCCTGAAGCTCAAACAAAAATTGGATATTCCAGGGCTCTCTATCTCTTGAATTCCCAGAGGATACAGTACTCAATCACTATAGAATTGGTGGCAATTCGTGGCCCCTTCCACTCCGTGCTCAGCAACAGAAACCCCTCACTTGCTCTGTGGGCTTATGCAACCATTTCCTCATTATTCAATGAAATTCAGATTCCAAGGATCTCAAATCTGGGAGCTGCACCCTGTTTGTACCATTCACCGCCCAAAGGTGTGTCTTTCACCCATCTGCCTAAATGGCAATGCATCATCTTCTACCTAAAAATCTGTAATAAAAACCTATGATACTATCTTGGTGTTCCAGACAAGCTTCTAATTTTTGAGAATTTCTCTTTGCCTTCTTGGTGTAGACTTTGGCCCGTCTGTTGATCAGGCTGGTCTCATTCTTCCCCCTACCATCATCTCTTACCAGCTCTTCCAGGGCTTGGAATGATGGCCCTGATTGGTCCCATTCTTCCTTTGAAGCTCATTTGAGGCTCAGCAGCTGTGCAAAGCTTTCCCAAACATTCTAGCAACCTTTGTTGCCTGCTATAATTCCCTGTTGCACTCAAATACAGCTGGAAACATTTTTTTCCTAAAGATTTTCTGTCTTCCTCCCTCTCTCAGTCAGATGGCCTGCTCTCGGAGGAAGGGATCACGAAGTAAGCAGGTAGCATGGGAAGGTATTCAACTATGAATCTGAGTGACAGGTTATACCTCTAGGTCTGCCACTTCATAGCTGTGTTGTCTTGGAAAAGCCACTAAACTTAAACTTCTGTTCTCATCTGTAAAAAACAAGTGGGGGTAAGGTGGATGTATTGGTTTCCTGTATGCTGCTATAACAAGTTATTACAAATTAAATGGCTTAAAGCAGTACCATTGTATTCTCTTATAGTTCTAAAGGTCAGAAGTCCACAATGGGTCTGCAGGGCTGTGTTCCTTCTGGAAGCTGTAGGGGAAAATCTGTTTTTTTCAGTTCCTGGAGACTGCCTGCTTTCCTTGAATATTGTCCCTCTTCTGCATCAGAGCACATCACTCCAACCTCTGCTTTTGTGTATCCTCTCTTCCCCACTCGATTCCTCCCCTCCCCTCCCCTCCCCTCTCCTCATTCTCTCCTCCCTCTTTCCCTTTTAAGGACCCTTTTGATATATCGGGCCCACCTGAATAATCTAGACAGCCTTCCCTTCTCAAACTGAATCATATCCGGAAACTGTCTTTTGTTGGGTAAGGTAATTTATTCAGAGGTTCTGGAGATTAGGACATAACCTTTGTCTTTAAGGGCCCTTATTCTGTCTTAGGTCTCCTGTGTCTCTCACTTGCCACAAATCAAAAGACGGATTTTTTCCGTATGCAAGAACTTACTTAGCACACGCTGCTAGTTCATCAGCTCCTTGATATGTTTATCCATGAGGATTTTTCTCTTTGCATGTTGTTGGTTAAGGTTCTAGGATCTGATACAACTCAGTGATAGAACTGTGATCACATATCTTAGAATTGCCGTTTTTCAGGCTTTTATGTGAGAAAGTTTGTTGATGCTCTTCTGCCAATCTTCGATTTTGTGCTTTGCAAAATTTGAAAAGACTAAACTAATTTCCACTAACCCAGGAGAATTTTTAAACATTCTGCTAATTATACTGGTGATTCTGCCATGTTTCTGGTTCTCTCTCCATAAAGTCCTGGATGTGTCTCTTGCTTAAGTTGAAGTATATGTGTTTTTAAGGTTTAGGAGCCAAACGGTCTTGGATAATAACCTAGCAAGTCTCATTTATAATTGCTACTTAATGTTAAATTTATGGTATTTCATAGCAATTTAGGTTGGCACTTACATGGGAGTTATACTGTTTTCTTTTTCCTACCTCCTATCAGGTGGTTTCCACCTTGAATGACCACTACTTACAAAGCAGAAGGAAAGCATCCATAAAATATATTTATAGTGGGTCTGTTATGTTCTCCCCAGCACATAGATCAATGTACTGAAATAGGATTACCCCTGGGTTGAAAAACTGTCCCCTGTCTTAAAGTTTTGAGTTTCAAGGTTACATTTGGCTGGAATCTGAGAAATGTACGATGTGAGTCAAACTGGCCTGTTGAAATTTTCTTTCCCTTTTGTCTCTAGATGCACCCACTGGGCCTGTGTAATAACAATGATGAAGAGGACTTGTATGAGTATGGCTGGGTAGGAGTGGTGAAGCTGGAACAGCCAGAATTGGACCCCAAACCATGCCTCACTGTCCTGGGCAAGGTAAGTACCAGGCCCTCTGAATTGCTGCCATTCTGGTTGGTGTTTTCCACTCATTTCCCTAGGTTTTTAAGTAGTTGGTTAGAGAGAATAGTCAAGCTGGCACAGCGCCTCTCCTGGTGAAGTTTTGTGTTGAGGATTCAGACAGATCTTAAGGCAACCCACCACAGTGCTTACAAACTTGGGCTTGGAAAGCAACTGCCAGCCTCAGAGACAGCTCTTACCCCTTGTGTTCATGTGCAAGTTGCTTCCCCTCAAGGAGTCTGTTTCTCGTCTGTAAAATGACAAATGAGAAATAATAGAAATTAGCAATAATAGAAATTGAGAATAGAAATTGGCAATACTATGTCTTACAACACGGGGACCAAATATTTCAGAATCCTAAGATGGTGGGGGGGTTAAAAAGGTATTAAGGTGCATATAGTTTCTATTAAATAACCTCCAGGGGATCTAGGACAGCACATAGTAATCACACACATTCCTATTTGTCTAGCAAACCATTGGGATATTCACATTATGTGGGATAACTAAAATCTAAATAGTCTCATGTTAGTTCAGGGCAGGCTTTGCCTCCAAATGAGTTCAGGTCCATTAAGTTTTGCTGCCAAGTAAGTTATGGAAAAACTTTTGGGTTTTAGAGCTTTTTCGGTTTCAGAATGGCAGACAGCAATTATGGTCTTGTATTAGAACTTACCTCATAGGGTGGTTAGGAGGTGAGATGAGATGTAAATGCCTCCTGTAAGAGTAAGCTCTCCAAAGACATCTGCTGCTGCTGACCATTGTCACCCATTTAGAAGCACTAAAAAAGACTTTAGCCAGAAGGATCAGCATTGCTTCTGATTACAGCGTAAGATAGAAATAAATCCATCCATCAGGGAACTCAGAATACAACAGGTAACTGTTTTAAAGTGGATCATTTTGTTAAAAGGAAAGGTTCAGAGAAAATTATTTGAATTTTGGTTGGAGGAAAAGTGGTGTCCCCTATCGATATTACTGCTGGACATCTCTTATGTTCTCAAAAGCTTTAGTTCTGAGTACTGTTGGGAGACAGCTGGTGGGGGAAGCATCCTGGTTACTGACATCTTAGGCTCTCTTGAGAGATTTAGGCAAGAGAAGAGGTGATTTGGGTGCAGGGAACCAGAGAGGGGAGCCTTTCTCGGGTCTAAAGAAGCCCCTATCACCTGAAAGACTTTTGGCCCTGGAGACCATCACAAATCTAATTTTTGATTTTTGTGTCCCTTTTGTCTTTGGAGTAGCAACAGGGCACTTGTCAAGTTTTCCTACTTTTCATTTGATGATGTTGGTTGGGGGGCCCCTCAGGAATTGATTTCCTGTTTGGTTTATAGTTCACAAAGATCAGTCAAGATGTTTTAAGTAGCTCAGGCCCTGATACTTTATCATTTAAATAGTTGACCAGAGCTGCTTAATGGTTGTAGTAGAGCAACAACCCTCTTAAGAATATTTTGGTATTTTTCTAGGAGAAATGCCAGCTACATCCACAGGTAGGAACAGAACTTGCCTTGTCGGTGTTCAGCTTTCTTCTCAAAACTGCGGCTATGTAGTGCTCAGCTCCTTCGCTTCATTTGCTCTGCTCAGCAGTGGTGGGGCTCCATCTTTATATCTGTTGTGTCTATAAATGGGTTGGAATGGGACTCACAGGGTTACCTTATTGTTCTCCCACAGTTTAGTGGTAGGGGCACTTGTTGAAATCATTCAGAGAACTCCACTATTTCTTCCTCCTCCTGGATTAGCCATCCATGGTTTTACTTGGAGAGTTTTGTATGGTTTGGCCTGCTAGTCGGTGAAGCCAGAGGGAATAGAAACCTTAGACATATATTGAATCATTAAGTACTTCGAGGGTTTATTCATTCACTAAATGGTTATTGAATGCAGGACCCTAGGAGCTAAGTGTGTAGTTCTACCTGCATGAGAGCAGCTAGCTAACCCCATGTTTCTGTTTGGAAAGGCTACAGGGTGGGAGGGAACATTGGCACACAGTTATTGCCGTTTGTCTTAGAGTTGATACCTGCATAAAATCATTAGCAAAAAAAGCTTGGTCCAGTCAAAGTAAGATGATTTCACATTTGCTTAAAATTGGTGTCCGAAGTGTGATGGGTCCGGCCTGCGCCCACCCTGTCTGTCTCTCGGTCTCTTTCTCATCTTCTTAAAATGTGGTTCTTCTCAGCTTCAGTTTCATTAAGTTTGCTGTGTTTTCTTTTTTTCTGACCTCCGAAGGGCAGGAGCAAAAGACAAGAGTTTTTAATTTACTAGGAAGGCAAAGTAATTCCTGTGAGTAGCTGAGTCCCTTTCAGACAGTATGATTTTCCTTCCAGTTCTTGGCTGAGGAGTCAGGGCAAAGAGAGGCCCAGAAGGCCAGGGAAGAGGGCTGGTGCAGCTCGCAGCAGAGTGCTTGTGGGAGGCCCTGGGATCCATCCCCAGCACTTAAAAAGTTGAGAAAAACATAGAAAGAAAGTACAACAAGGCCGGCTTGTGGGTACACATGGAGGGACTCCTCTGGGTGGATGTTGGGACTTGTGGAAAGCCATGGAAGGGAGGCTTCTGTCAGCTGAAGCGTGCAGGCGTTCAGAAAAGTCTGGGAGAGACAGGGGAGGGCTAGACATGGCCCTTCTCTCTCACCATCACCCACCCACCCATAGAAAATGCCACAGGGTGAAACCTTGAAATAAGAGAGGAATGTCCTAAATTTTAAAAAACTTCAATGCCTCTCGAGGAGTTCAAATAAAGTTTTGTTTTAAAAGCAAAAGACATAAACTCATCACCTTGGTTTATTACCAAGTGCTTTTGAACTTCTTGGAAAAGAACACTATAAACTTATGAGAAAAATGATTTATGGTCCCCTCCTTCTAATCTTTTCGATGCAGTAGGAGGAGGCTCAGACAGTAGGATCAGCTAGGGAGGCCGATTTGGGTTGAGGGAGAGCCCCCACAGGGTAGCAGCAGGCCAGGGCGCCATGCCAGACCCTGTCTCAGACGGGCACAGGGCAAGTCTCTTAAACCTCCAGGGCTCTCTTTTTCATTTTATGTGAAGAGCCTGTACTGGGTCCCTTGCACTTTTAGTATTTTGAGCTTATAGATCATACGTAAAATCTTTCCTGGATATTCTAGTGTGGGGAGATTATAGTTACACCATTGAAAGACAGACTCTGTGGCCTGCGACAGTTTTAAGTCCTAGGTTATTAAAAGAATAAACTGACATTTCTGGACAGCTTGTATTGAAAAATAAGGGTCTCAATCATCCCCAAAGTACAGGAACCTGTGTTTAAATCCAGGAACTTTAATCCTTCAATTCAGTAAGAGTTTATTAAGCATCTTGTGGGGCTGCAAAGAATTTAGAGGGTCCACTTTAATAGCTTTGACTCCCATGACCTGTCACCTCATGGAGAATTTCATGGAAGAAAAGATGTGCAGGAGCACTTGGCCCTGATTCTGTAACTTCAGGCAGAATAAATCCTTCTCTACCTCCCGATTGGAGTGATTCCCAACAAGGGTTTTGAAATTGCATGCTTAACAGGCGTGGACTCAGCTCTTTCCATGCTTAAGAGGATAGTGTGGGGACATTAATAAAAAGACAAGGAATTTCATGTCACAGAGACCTTACATTGGCTGAGTGACCTTAGAAAGGTGACTTCAGTTCTTGGTGCCTTACTCATTTGTAAAATAGGCTAATGATGCCTTTGTCCTTTTTGTGTGGATTCTTATGAGACGTTTGCAACACCCTTGGCTCCAAGCTTGACCACAGCGATGCCAGGTGAGAGTATGAAAGCATCGTCACTTGTTGGGTGCCCTCCAAATGGCAGGAGCTTTATGTGCAGGTGCGGTGTCTCCTTGGATTATCCAACTAACTGTGAGTTCCAGTTCATGTTCTCATGTTAGGCCAAGGAAATCAAGTCCCAGAGAGGTTCTCTACATCACCTAAGATCGAACAGCTCAGAAGAGCTGAAATAAACCCTCTACTGCTTCACCAATGTTGGTTTCTTCTCCTTGCCTTCTTTTGTCTTGGCCAGTTTTTCTAGATAAAGGTGAGATGCATTTTAGTGTAGCCGCAGGCCTGATCAGGACTGTGCTCCACACAGTGGCCTCCCACCTTGGGCTCCACTGACAGAAAAGGGGATTTGCTCTGAGGGTCCTGGGCTGTCCCAGAACCTAGGAACCCACGGTGGTGTGGCGGCTGCTGCTGCTGCTGCTGCTCTTCTAAAGCAGCCACTCCTGGGTAGCCTCCGCTGAGTCTTCTCTGCATGCATCTGTCTGTTTCTGTCCCTGCCCCTGGTCTCCTGGGTGGGAGACACAGTCCTGAACATCCCTGGCTTGACACACTGAGTTTTGAGTCTAAAAGATTCTAGAAAACAGATTCATTGGCCCGTCTTGGATCAGGTACTAGGAGGCTTGAAACACTGGAACTTGGCCTGCCTCGCCCTGCTGTGTCTGGAGAGCGAAAGGAAGTTGTGTTCTCCAGAAGGGAGCTGGGGAGGCAGTGCTGGTCTGCAAGTAACTCCCTCAGTTTATCCTGAGTCACTCAGAGAGGTCCAGTGGGAAGGAACTCTTGGTTCATAGGCCAGATCCTCTTACCCTGCACATAGGCCATGACTGTGGTAAGCAGAGAATGGCTAGTCAAGACTGGAGGGGTGGGCAGGTTGTACTGAGAGGGGCTGTGTGACAGAGCATGAGACGTGAGACAGGACCAGGGGAAAGAATCTCCATAATAGTGCAGGGAAGAGGGATCAAGGGTTTCTTATAGGGACATTGGAAGTTGTTGAGGAAGGAGGAGGCTTTCAGGTTAAGGGAGGTCTCCTTCTGGATAACTGGAAGCCACTGAAGGCTTCTGATGAGGACCCGTGTCATAGGACCCTCCTCTCTGGATGATCATTTTTGCAGTAGGGTCTAGGCTGGATGGAGTATCTGGTTGCATTTTGCGGCTTGATGTTTCTGGTAACTGCGTCGACCCAGAGTAGTTCTCTGTGATGCTTTGGTGAGGCTCAAGCCAGT